ATGATATTAGCTCATAATCCTCTCTAAGCTTTGTATCACAGAAGCAAAAGTTTTGCTGAATATCTCACATGCCATCAGGTCTATTCTGTATTTGTAATTTTCTTTGATAGCAAGTACATGTCGACAAGTACATGTCGACAGCGAATTTACTGTTAAAACGCCCTGTGAAATTGATTTTTTGACAGTAAACGAATATAATTTTTTCTAGTGACAGAAAAAAGAAAGCATATAAACGGTTGACAGAACGAGCTCGAGCTATGTTCCATCGCGCAAGGCGGCAGAGTCAGGAAACTACCCGGTATGCAGAATTTCTTTATTCACTTCTGAGTAGACAAACTCTGGGTAAGTAAATAAAGCACCTGTAGAATCGAGAAAAATATACTTCTCAAAATTAGACGATTGACTTGAGGTAAATACAAACTGAGGTATCACAATAACTGATTCCAAAATTCAAAATAAAGTCTATATTTACAGGAAAGCAAAATAAAAATCCCGATTGCTCGAATTTGGATGTGACCCAAACTTCCATGATTTCAAATATCGTGACCCAAAACTGTTTCTTACAGCGAAAGATCGATATGGTGCCGTTCCATCCTAGCGCGGTCAATAAAGATCTCAACCAGCCGCAGTTGTGTATCGTCAAGTGCTGTAGCGAGATACTTGGACAATATGTGGCTTTTATCATTTGCCGCAAAATGAAAAGCAACCAAACAATCCACAGCATTTTTGCGAACACTGGAGCTTGCATGTCCGAGACGTCGGACCAACATCCTCAAAAGGCTATCTGTTCCGTCGTTGTTGTGCAAGAATTTTGACAAATCAAAAGTATCGCGCTCACAGGCCTGCAAACAAACTTTGATGAGTCGAAGCACAACTTGTAACGTCGGTGGTTCCCTGTCCGAATCCAATTGAATCAGCATTAACAGTGTCAGATTGGGGTCGCTCGTCTGACTAACGAGGTCGTGAAGAATTCGCTCCATCAAATGGCGAGCCTGTAACGAATTTTAAGTTGATTTGCATGTATATCACCCTACAATTTTGTTGACGTACCACATCAATTTGATGGACAATTGCATCAATCAAACGCTGGAGTAGCAACTCAAAAAACATTTGCGCTCGAGTTGGCTGCGCTTTGACCAGATGTTGAAGCACCTTTAGCGCATATATATTATTCTCGGTGGCAGCATCAACAAGCAGTAAAAGCAGCCGCCCGAAGCAGCGATCCCAAGTCTCCGGCGACTCAATCTCGATGCAGTGCAATGTCTATCGAAAGCAAAATGGTGACTTTGTCGCTCATACATTGAGCCTGGGTGATAATTACGCACCTTGTATAGCGCGTGCTTTATCTCAGTCTCCGACAGATTGTTTTGCTCAAGGGCATGAAGGATTTCTTCGAGTGATGCGGCATGCGTGTCAACAGTAAATCTCGCAGGTAACGCAGTACGAAACGGCACGCTTTGGGTTGATATTACCTTGACATTCATCGAATTTATTTGAGGAGCTGTCGCAAAGCTTTTTGGTTGAGCGAGTTCCATTTTTTGGTTCTCGCCGTTTTGTGAGGCAATATCCTTGGGTGTTGTATTTATCCGCTTTTGATTGTTTCGGCGAGCAGGGCTAGAGATAGTCACACTTGGTGACTCAGCTCGCTTTCGGCTCCTTTCTGGTCTGAAATCTTCGGTTTCCATATCTTGGTTATCATTGTCATCGTCGTATGGTCGCGTTGAATGCGAATTTGTTGACGCGACAAGCTGTGGTCGTTGCACAAGAGTGGGCTTTAGCACAATATTTTTAGAGTGAAGTAGTTTGGACACGACTAAGCGCTTGGACGGAGATAAAAACCCTAGTGCCTCATTCAGCTCGGAACCGTACAGCTGTGCCACGACTGAGACTAACTCACCACATGCTGATGAGACAGAGACAGGGACGTCCGCATCCATAAGAAGAGCGATTTTGAGCAAAAACGTTCTCATGTGGCTGCTGTTTGTACCGTGTTTCATGTACCCTCCAGCACCTGGCAGCAACTCGCGCAAGTAATGACACATGGCAGCCTTGACCTTCATATTGCTTCCATCTCCCAATATCGAAATTGTAATTGCAGCCAGTGTCGAGTTGTCGACTGTCATCGCGATATAATCCAAATTTTCCTTTGCAACTACTCGAATCGATTCTTTGGTGTCAACAAACTTCTGAAAAAGCTTTGGCAATACCGACTTCAAATGAGAAGGTAGTCGCTGAGTGTGGTGAGATAGTTTCAATAGCGATAGCAGATTTTTTAGCACTCCTTGAGAGACTCGATAATGAGCATCATTAAGATGCTTAATAAACGCAACTGTAATTCGGTCATCCAACTTGTGATCTCTGCTCCCACCGCTTTCAATTTGCTGGACTCGCTGTTGTATATACGTACCAATATATTCTGCAGCCTCCAATCTGGTAGACCAGGACTTGCTTTCAAGCGTTCGAAGGGCATCCTCAAGTATGTCTGTTACCGGCAAAGATGCAGCTTTAGACCCCTCTGACTCGCTCGCAGGTAGAATCCGCTGTGGTATATTTCGTGCTTCGATCGTTGACTTGTTGGATCTAGGGCTTGAAGCATTCGATATAGGCGGTGAGGGCATCGATGCAAGCGGAAGTCTTTTTGGACCATTATTTCCTTCGTTATTCTCCGCTTGTTGTGGCAACTGGGAATCTGCCGCAAGCTGGACTCGCTGCGCTTTCAAAGAGTGGTGCTGAGAGCTTGTGTGATAACCAGCATTAGATGGTCCTTGTCGCGATGTGTATAAGCTTTCGGTAGTTGAGTCGATTGAGGGCGATGACTTTGGTGCACTTCGTATTCGAAGGGGACCTATGGTAGAAGTTCGTGTTGTCGTCTGGTTTGTAGATTCAGGGTTATCTTGTAAATCTGATGATTTTGCTCGACCTACTAGCCCGACGCGCAGTGGGCCTTGCGGTATCATTCGCGGAACTTCTTCTACCAGTTCAGCTCCGATCGATAGTGAACTTCCTTCCAGCACCCTTCTCGGAAGCTTCTCTGTAGTCGGTTCTTCGGCAGTCAAATCTACTGCTCCAGGAATGCTTGTCGCTGGCTGGATGGCATTCTTTCTAAGCGCAAAGCGATCAATATCTGTGTTATGGGTCAATGAAGCAGTTGTCAAGCTCTCGTCTAAGTGCCGAGTGATCATGGCTGTATTTTTGGAAGGATCATCAAGTAAATTCTTTTGCGTCAATCGATCCAAACCACTAAATATGTTTCTTGCTTCATTCTGCGATCCACAGCAGCCAAGAAATGTCATTCATAATCATCAATTAGATTGGTGGAGCAGATGCACGAACCGGAAAGAGGTGATGCAAAGCCCAATAGCATTTTCTAGACTGCGAGCGCACATCACCTAGTGCATCTTGAAGAATAGCCGGCATGATCGGTACAAACATAGCTGAATGCCTAAATGACGCAACTATTAGTGCCATTTCCACTTCTAAATCATGATACGTACTTGCTTAAAAAGTTGAAGCTCCACTTTTTTAAGATAAGTGTCAAGTAGCATACCGCGTTGCATCGCAGCACTTGATTTCGAGATTTGACGCATTCGATGAGTCTAAAGTGTTTTAACATACAGAGCTCGTTAGCACTTGTGAATGGTCTTTGCAAAGCTCACCGTGCCGCACTTAGGAATCACACGTGAGTATCCGTTACTTGTGCTTTCAATCATGCACTTAATTGTTGAATCTGCTGAAGTTGAAATCACTTGAATCGTTACGTAAGTCGCTTTCAGTAAACTATCCAAACAAAATTCTGCATGCGCATTAAATTCGTCTCGAAGGGATTTAGCGAGCGTTTGTATTGTATCGCAAGCTTCTCTAGACACGGAAGATCGCAAGTCACTCACTTGCTGGCATAACAGCTCACGAACTGTACGTATGCCTTGCGACAAAACGGAAAGGGCAACTTCACTGTTTGAAGCCTTGCTGCATCGACTCGCTAGCCTTTGAAGTATCTTTAGACCTCCTACACGTTGGTCCCACTTGTTCTCGAGTTTAAGTTTCTCACATACGACACTTAACTGTTTTTGCAATTCTTTTTCTGTAACATCGTTTCCTTTTTTTTCGATAGTGCGTTTGGAGCTGTGATGGTCATTAAAACTTTTTGAAGAGGATGTTTGGGATGGAGATCGCTCGCCTTCAGCAACCGCAGCCTTAGCATCGTTTTGCGTTCGGCTTCGGACAGATTCCAAATAACGCGCCATCGAAGTAGAAGAAGCCGAGACTTGAAGATCATATGCCGACAAAATTGACGACAACTGGTCTGATTGGACGTTTATCGATTCGGGGGCACCATTATAAGGTTGCGACTGCAGATCATCGATTGTAAGCTTTCTAGACTCCATTATCTTATTATTTACGTATAAAAGACGTACTCGAACGGCATCCCGGGATAAAATCATACTTGCACCTCGAAGTCGCTCAAATCTTTCAGTTAACATCTTCATATGAGCTGGGCGAATGTTCTTATATTCCATATCACTCTGCAGTATCAATCAAAACATAATATTTAAGTTTTGAAATTCAGAGAGCGCATAGTCTTTGAATCTCGTACTAAAAGTGAAGATCCGATAAAGGTGTAAAATTTCTCCAGCGCCTTTATCGCAGCATCACGCACATCTTTCGACGAGTCTTCCAGCAATTTTAGCACCTGAACAATGTTGACACCTCAAAACTTGGCACTATCAATTTTTTCTAATGAGACTTACATCATCAAAAAGATTTTCCTGCTGAGCCTTAAACAAGTCGTGCTTTTCCAAACACCTCCATGTGGCGTGCAAACTCTGCGCAATCATATCCTTATGTTATTTTACTCACATCCAAAATTTTCATCCTTTTTTGTAAATGTACCTGCTCGCGTGTGCGCCAGTTTTTATGGTTCATACAACCTTTCAGATTGTCAAGTACCATATTCACGTCAAGTACAACTGATAATTCTACGATTACGTCCACAGCCTTCTCTCGCACTTGTAATTTGCTATCCCCAAGCCGCTCCACGAGGCTGGTCCAGAGCAGTTTGAGATACAAGCGGAGAGTACTCTCGGGCGATTTCGAGACTAGTATTTCGAGAATCTCTAATGATCCAAGTGCAATTTTCGAGTTGTGACCACGCAGACAGTGGATAACATGAGGCAGCAATTCAGTAGAGGACTCAAGAGGTACATCCTGCTTGCGGAGCTGCTCCAAAAGTCCTGTTACACCTGCTAAGCGCTGCTTAGTCGCTTTGACAAGAAATTTTTACGTCGTGTTTATGTTTTTACCACCCAAAGTCAGTTCTCTTAGAATATTTTCAAGTAGTATATCTGCTACACGTGATGGAACGCACCTGTAGAGCTCAGCAGGGCCGCTGTTTCCTCCATTTTCGGCGCCTTCTTACAGTTTGAATTTAGCGCGTGTTCATTGGTGGAAATCAAATTGCCTTTATGAAATATTATAATTGCACTTTTTCACCAATCTTTAGTAAATTTATCAGGTGATCTCGACAGGTTTGTATGTCAGCAGGATCGCGGGTTCGTCGTGCCGCGGCGGCCAATGAAAGTGTCGTCGTGCGTATCTGGCGCTGGGTTAAAATTCGATTCTGTACGATTACGCTATGAATGTAACTATTGTATTTTTCTTATGATATTGCTAACGATTGTAGGGCATCTATTCTATGGAGAGAACGAATGGCAGCGATTGTGTAATCCGACTGGTCCTGACGTCGATGAATACGAACGCGTCGTACGTTTTCGCACAGAGTTGGCGCTTTCTAAGCGAATGGTGCAGACTTGCAATGCAGTCTTTGACAACGAGCCGTTTCCCGTACGTGGTGTGATAGTATAAAATGTTGTTGCAGTTTTTATGACTGAATGTGATTGCTGTAGGTCGAGAAAACGCTGCATGACGTTGCAACACGAGCGAGTCTTGACAAAAGTGATACTACGCAAGTGAACGATTTAAAATTGCTGTTGAAATGAGAATGTCTGATTCGCGTTTGTGTTTTGCAGGTTAATGGCTAATGTCCGCTCATGCCTTCAGCGTTGCAACTTTGTAAATAGGATATATGATCAAGTGTACGCATTGAAAAATGAAGCGTACAGCTCGTCAAATTCCGAGCATGAAGAGCTGCTTGAGCAGTTATGGTCAAATTTGAAGCCGGATGTGCGACGTTTAGGTGGACGCATCACTAAGGAGTGGGGAGAGATTGGTTTTCAAGGTACGATCTATTGTGAAGATCATGTTTTGTGGTAGTATTTGATGCGTTGCTGAAGGTACTGATCCGATGTCGGACTTTCGAGGAATGGGCATCCTCTCACTGGTCCAGCTTAATCATTTTACAAAAACATACAAAATTGAATCTCAACGGTGTGTTTGTGGTCTTGCGCACTAAATTAGTAGCCATTTTAATTGTTCGTGATGTCTACGAGGCAGGGCATTGGAAGAGTCAAACCATCCAACGCGCTGGTACCCGTTCGCCGTTACAGGAATCAATGTCACCGCCTTTGTTGTTGAGCTGATTGACAATCGTCTTTTAGATGTTGAGATATACCGCTTAAGCACTGGTGGTGAAGATGACAACGTGGATGCCGGAATCCAGCAGTTACACGATTTCTATGGTTTGTCAACTTCAATAAAGTTTTATGTTGCTTGCATTAATAGTTTCTTTGTTCAGCCACGACCTTTACCCGTTTTAACAAACTATGGGTGGATTCAAATCCTCGCGATGTGATGGCTTTTCCATCCATCTTTCAGTCGCTGAAAGATGCTATCTGCCGCGAATTAACCCATAGGTCGTTCAGGTACTGAAAATCTGACGTGTATCCGTGATTTAAATGGAGATTAAAACCACAGAATTTCTATTTTAAAAGTTTTCAAGTTCTAATAAAGTAGCTTAACAAGCGCAAACTCAAATTTATGGAAATTTGCTAAACAGCGTAATCAGTTGCGCCCCGTTCAGCGCTCTGGGCCTTATCAATAAATAGTATACTTTTTTACCAGATACAGTGACATCTCTTTTACTGCGATAAATCTATCGGGGCGACCTTGGCCCTATTCAATCTGAATCGGTAATTTAATGTCAACTGTGACGCTCAAGTATTTGCCATAAGCTGCGCTATTTTCAAGGGACATAGACGGATCCTTGTATTCTAATATCGCCATTTGTATTTGTTGGTTGCCCAACAAATACGAATGGGTAAGCAATTATGTGCACGTGTAAAACGTATCGACGGGAAACGTTTCTCTTATGGCCCAATTGCCAGCTGGTGGAATGAAGACAGTCGAAGGCAGGGACATAAAACTGGTCTGCCGAAAGACGCGTCCAGTAATTTAAATATTGTGATGTATTGAACATATTGAGTAAAAGGATAACTTAATTGCTGTCAGTGACACCGCTTCCAGTAAGGATGTGACCAGGCTGTTATTCGACACAGCCCTTTCGCCATCTTGTCATGACGATTACCCTCTGATTCAAATTAGCACAACGCATCGTGTTTTTGAGCTGAATAATACAGTACGCACATCGTCAGGCTCTACTTGTCATTAAAATCGATGGTTCGGTCTGCCTTTGTGTCCCTTAGGCATCACCAAAATGTGGCTTTGGTCTTGATGAGGAAGGGTTGTCGATACGATTTTACTTGCTGGTTTCAGCCGCGTAGCAAATTTTAATGAGATTGAGTATTTCGCGCCTTGTACGCGACGCTATAACTGAGTGTCAGGATGTGAAAGCATCATGCTACACGTGGAGAGTGTAGTTGTAGATCTGCCTTGTTATCTTCAATGACAATCTATACATGCAGTGACTGAAGCCTCGGAGACCACGCCCTCACAACATTGATCCGTTTACAATCGTTATCGAAAAGATATCTTAAGCCACAAATTTGAAAACGGAAAGCAGATGCATCTTGTGTTTCACATAGGATTGCTGAAACAAGACCCACCATTGCGAACCATTTAGATGTATAATGCTTTGTTGAGGATGAATAAACATAGACCTACTTGACTAAAAATCCTTTGTTTTTAGTTCAGACCCGATTTTAAGGGACAAAATTATAAATTCATCAACTGCAAGCAGTGATGAGTCGCCTCTAATTTTAGAGAAGATAGTCACACGTATCATTTTGAAGATCAATGTTCGAATCTGTAACAACACTTCGTAAGTCCAATGAGGACTGTAAATTATTTCAAAAAATGTGCTTGAACATAGAATATTATTCCGAATGAAAAAATTGCTGCTGGAAGTGGCTTCGCCCACGTAACAAGCAGTGAAAGAATGATTTATGACGTCAGTAAGCCAAGAATTTTTACCTATCCACAGTTTGGATTGAATGTTCAAATCTGAGCGGAATTCGGAAGCACTAACTCAGCTATCACAGGTCGAATTAAAAAGGCATGCGCTATAGTTGGTATAAGTTTTGAAGTCGATTAGATTGAATGTCAGGCGGGAAAACTCCCTCGCGATAATTTTTTCTTGAATCTCATTTACAGAGCTATTGAAATGATGTGAAAGCAGTTAACTTATGTGCCCCTTCATTTACTGTTATATGAAGCTCTGATCAGATTTGACCTAGTACAAACGCAAACAATAACTCGAGAACCAAGACCTCCCATCAAAAACGTTTTCAAGGTGCAGTTTCAGACCACTTTCCGCCAAGCTAACAACAGATTTGTACATTCATGAGGAGCTGCAACCTCCTCAAAACTTTACAGATCTGCATGTAATATATGTAGACGGGAACATGATTCATATATATTCAGCTTTTGCTAGCAAATGATCGTCATGAAGAAATTACCAATTAGCGTTAGTCGTCTGCCTGAAGCCTATCATTTGCTTCAATGATTTTAATTGGTATTATCGGTCGATGGAGTACGTCGGTAGCATCTGTCATTATCCAGACAGCGGCAAATTGATGATGTGATCAACTGATTTTTCACATATTTGAAAAAGCCAAAGTCCTCCTGATAAATTGTGATAATGAGGGTATGGTCAATACTGTCAAAAGAGAAGGAAATGGGGCTGGACAAACAAGTATCCAATGCTAAATTCGACAATCTTGTTGAGACAGATAATACCAAGACTTAAGATGTAGTCAGAATTTATTGACAATCGCGAGAGGATCTTATATTGATCATTATCATCTTCGAGCTATAAAAAAATGATCATACACTTTTATTCCTCATTAACATGGTCCGGAGCGGCGTGATCGGCAACAATATCCAATACAGAGCCGGTGTTATATACCAGGGTATTTCTAAGAAGTCTCCACGTAAGCTCGCTCCGAATAGATGTGCTTTTAATACTTTTCTGTGAGCCATGTGTGAAATATTTCCTTCATCATACCAATATACTCTTACGAGCTACTTGTACGTTTCATGTCCGAAATAGCGGGCGTGACCAGCATTTATCTAACTTGCTCTTTCTCTCTCATACTCTCCATGTGCTAATATAACCATAACCCGAACAATAACTCAGAAAAATGGTTTCCAAATTTTTAATATAAGTAAGAATTGCTGTACTAGAAAGCTGAATTCAGTATAAAGTCCGTCTTAAGTTAATTACCTAGCCCTACTTTGAGCTAATATGCAGAATTTTTCAAGTGAGCTCGCATTTTATGCAAAAAATGCCTTTATGTCTCTGGAACCTTAGAATCGTATGAATTTTTCTAATGCCGAATATACTTTGCATGTGGCTGCTCTAAATCCAAATCCTTCGCGCCTCTTAATTTAACACATCAGTGAAGTGAATGGTGATAAAATATCACGCAAAGTTCGCAATGCAGACATCACTGTAACCAGACAACAATACTATGACAAAAGTGAAGAATATGGCACACGAATTGCCATAAAAACAGTCTAGAATACAGCATTTGTTACGACAGTTTCTCAAACTATAGTGTAAAAGTACAAGCACGAGTTACTTAATTCAAATAAAACGCATCTCTTGCCATTTGACAGGACCGTTATCAAACCGACAGGACCCATATGTGATCACACCGACAGCCGTATCGACAGAATACGTGTAATAGGTTTGCGTTTGTGCTGGCTGTTTGGCGTCTTCATCCAGATATATAACAACATGCCGGTTATCTTGTGACTCGCTCGCTTCGATGTCTGTGGTGCCATGTATCACAGATCCAAACGACGAATTCTAATTGGTTGAAAGAAAGCATCCGTTCAGTTCACAATTTCACTTCTGAAAGCAATCGACATAGCCGCTGCGAAGGGGGGAATGTTGTAGGGAACGTCCTGCAGCCAGTGTGGAGTGCGTAGTGGACAATTGTTACTTCAGTATTCGATCAAGCATTGCTTTTGCGGAGCGACAACATCCCTGATTAGACTATCCCCTCCCATTTGTTCGACCATATTTCTCAACTACGTACGTACATGGTACAAACTTTAACAGCGTACCCTCTCCTTTAACACTAAATTAAGCAGATTAATGAGCGGTGATCCGTCCAATAGCGGTGGTGCACCCGGGTCGCCTGAGTACACTCGTGGGACTACCATGGCCTCACAATGGCCTGTTGATGTCGACCTAGATGCGCTGTATCTTTCTGAGCGATCAGATGTGGATGACCTTGTACGTAGCGCTTCAGACATGAGTGTCTGGACCATGGAGAATCGTAAGGACAATGCGACAGTGTATGTGCATTCTAAGAACAGCGAACGTTTATCGTACTCGGTACGCGCGGTCACAAAAGTTGCAGGCTCAGTTTCGGACGTGCTCGAGTGTCTGCGTGCAGTCAGTAATTCAAGTCTTAAGAGTTTTCAAAAATTGCTGCATCCTCGCAATTTCATGGATGGAGAAGTTCTGTATGTACATCAAGTGGATGCAGATTCATCTCATGATAGAGCATCTAATGAATCGATGACGCTAAAGTGGCTTGTGTATTCATCTCCAAAAACTCTTGGACACGCTAAAGAATTTTGCATTCGTGAATATTGTGTGCTTCTTCCTAATCATCCTGTGCATGGCAATGTGGGTATTCTTAAGTTTGAGTCGTATGATGGTGCAGCAGCACGTTATGGAATTCGTGGTAAACCCGATGCTTACAGCTTAACAGTATTTGAACCAAGCTCGTATATTGTCCAACAAACTCCAGAGGATCCCAATATGTGCAACGTGATTTTGACATTTGCTATGCGAAAAGCACGAGGCGGAGAAAGTGTATCAGCTGGTGTTCGATTGACGTCTTTACGACTCGCAGGAGATCTCTCGGGAATGCAAAGAGCCGTCCAACAAGCGCTTTTCGCTCCTGCAGCGCTCGCACAAAGACAGGAGTGGGTGAATGATGCACAACGTACCAACTGTTCATTGTGCGTACAATCTTTTGGGATGTTGAAGCGTCGACATCACTGTCGAGTGTGTGGCGAAGTAGTATGTTCCGCTTGTACGGTCTTTAAAATGGTCAAAGGAGATCAGGATGTTGCGGCAAAAGTGCGTGTTTGTAAGGCTTGTTTAGCTAGAGGTAGCAACACGACAAATTTGGGAACTACTTTAAGTGGTGGAGCTGCGATGAATAACAGGTTTTCCAATCCCGTGACTCGGAAACTTAGCAGTACCAGTACTGAAACGGATGTCGACATGAATGGTGGAAGTGGTACGACGCCAATCATGGGTGGAATGAATAATATCGGTACCAGTACCGGGAGCACAAGCTCGCTAACTTCGGACGAATCGCACAGTCCTCCAAACGACGATCCAGCGTCGTCATCTCTACCGACAATGCAGTTCAACAAAGGATCTGCATTGACTTTAAATGATTTTGACGCTCACACACAATTAAACAATGACGGAGATAATAGTCCACCTTCTTTTCGAAAGCAGACGTCGTCAATGTCAAGCCAAGGCAGAGGAACAGGCTATGAAGGTAGACCGATAGGGAGTATGGGTAGAACCGCGTCAAATGCTAGTATTGCTACGAGCCGAAAGACAAATTCGGATCGTCGTATTCATTACTTTAACGAAGACATGGAAGAAATTTGTATGCTAGCGATGGAAACATTAACGTGTCCAATGGCGGGAATTCGTACTGAAGATTTCGAGCTTGTGAGGTACTATGATGGAAAACCAACTCCAGGACTCCCTCGAAGTCTGCCCACTTTTCGAAGACTAGCAACCCGTGGTAAACCATGTATTGTGCTCGACGTGAGCTCGGATAAACGAATTTCAGGTGAAAAACGCTTTACAGCCAAATTGCAATTTTTTGTTGGTATTCCCTTGCTGGTAAATGGCGAAGTGGTAGGTGACTTATGTGTGGCAGATCGGTATGCGCGTGACAATATCGATCACAAGCAGGTGGAAGTGCTTAATGTGCTAGGCGAGACAGTGACTCAATATATGCAGTCGGAAGACTATCAGGAAGATTTGGTCGAGTTTAAAGCGACTCATACGGCGGCTCGCAGACCTCCAACAGGTGGCTCAGTCTATCAACTCCCACAAGAAGAAATTAGTGAACCATTAGCAGGCACGAAGGAAGTTGCATTTTAAACTATATATATGTCGCAAAGGTACGCGGTTGTCAAAGCTGTGCCCTTTAGTATGTGATTCGGTCCGGTAACAATCATCTAGGAACCATGAAATTGTCTTAAGCATTGTGAAAACTATAATTTGATTTAATATTCTTTTTGGTATCGAGTCGACTATTAGTGATCGAATTTCACACAATGCCATTAGTTTTTAATTTACTGACACCTTTTTCTAATTTAGAACAAAAATTGGACTTGTACAAAAAGGTAAGAAAAATACCATATTGTAGCCACAATAAAAAGAATATGCTTAGGCCGTGCTACTCTTTACCAGCTTGTACGACTCAAGTCGCGAAGTCGGCAGACCGGTGGATGCAAACAAATTCTTTTTCTCGTCGATTTTTTTCTTACTTCGCCGCTTCCTCTTGTTCAATTTACTGCCATGTTTTTCTGCTGTTGACTTGACATCATCCCCATTTCTCGTTTTGCTCCTTACTCTAGCGTCACACGCATCTGCCTCGGGCGCCGCCTCGTCTTCTTCAGTCTCGACCTTAGTGCTCTTTTTCCGCTTTCGTTTCTTTTGCAAAATATCCTCCTCTGCTTTGACAACTTCCTTCTTAGCCTTGCGTCTCCTGTGCTCCTGCTGGGCTTTTTTGATACTTTTCTTTAAGTTCTTCAACCGCTTTCGATCAACAGAATACTCCTTGTCGGCATATGGAGCCATTCGCTTAAGAGAGATAAGCTGCTTTAGCTCCTTGTCATCAGCAGCCATGATCTCGTCCACCGTGAGACCAAAGTCATTGTTCTGTACCTGGCGGTACTTGAAGCGACATTTCATATCGCCAATCAGGTCTTCGTAGTCTAAGCCGTAGAGTTCGTCTAAGTACTTTTGCTTCTCTCGCCGCATTTCCTCAGCCGTCAGCTGTTTCGGCGGAGCTTCCTCTTCAACATCTTCAGTCTGCTCGTCGATACTTCCCCCTTCCTTCTGAATCTTCTCCTCAACACTTTCTTCTACTTCCTCATCCGGATCTACAGGTAAATCACCAAAAAGATCCTTATCCTCTTCTTCGTCCCATGTAGGCTTCTCCATATCGTCGTCCTCGTCATAATATTGATCATCAAAGACGGCTTGCATACGCTTGTCGTACTCTTCAGGATCAAAGTCGCCTTCCAAATCCTCTGGCTTGAGGCTAGCGGTGCCGTCTGGTTCACCCATGAGATGTGCAATTTTCGTCAGCTTCCGTTCGATTTCTGCTTGCTTAAGATTCTTCAAGCGACGTAACTCCTCTTCCTTCTTCTGCCGTTCGAGGGCCTTACGTTCCTTTCGCTCAGCCCGTTTGCGTTTGCGTGAGTCGTCTTCTCGACGCATTGTGTCTTCAATACGTCGAGAATAAGTCTGAATCACACTGCTTCCCTGCTCCTCAAAACGAAAGTTGTATGTATGTTCAAAATCCTCAGCCTTTTCCAATTCCTCGGCGTCTTCTTCATCTTCCTTCACGATTTCATCATAATGCGGGACAATTGCCGACTTTTCCTTCCAGCCTTCACTACTCAAATAATGCTCAAGAAATTTGTCGGGGTCTACCTCTTCTTGCTTTGACTTAAATTCGTACTCAAGAAAATCTTCTGAGAATTTTTCATCCTCCTGTCTTTCTTCTCCATCAGCCTTCTTTCTAATCGTAAAAAGTCCTCCATCCAAGTTATTCTCCTCATTTTCTTGATCCTTTTCCTTCAGTGATGCCAAAAAATCCTTTTTAATTTGATCCTGCTCTTCTTGGTACGTTCGAATCGGCTCGCACTCCTCGTCCTCTTCACTACCACTGACGTCTCCCGCAATTACTTGCTGACGCACCAGATCTTTGTAGTACAATGGTGTCGAGCTTTTCATTGTCGTCTTCGTTCTCTTTGATTTGTCTTCATCGCTGCTATTCGACTCAACATTCTTAAAAAAAGTAATAGAAGGGTCGTAGATGGCTGGATCCTTTTTACGGATAAGCTTGAGCGTCTTATTGATGTCCGCATCGATCTCCTTTGTAAGTGCCTCACCATCCTCGTCTTCCGTCTCTGAGCTCGAATAGTCGTCGCTAGTGTCGATTCCACGCTTTTCCAAAGCTGTGAGCTCCTCCTTGCGTTTTCGCTCCTCATAGACCCGAGCAAACTTTTGGTTCACTTGAAGCTGAATAGTTGGACTTGAGGGTGGTGATAAAGGTATAATTTCGGATGAGTTCTTCGCCATTAGGACGTAGCAGTTGTTCGTGATGGTTCAAGAAGATTGATTGGCGGCTATCAACAATTAATCCTTGAACCGGTATTTAGTTTACTATATTTTTAGTCCCATTTCAAATGAGCAAAATTGAAATCCCAATTTTGGCACTCTCATGTTGCCAACAGCTCATAATTATGGCTGAACCCCACGTAGCAATTGCAGGTGACATCTTGTCCATTGAATCGAAGTCTTTTTCTCGTAGTTATCCCATCATCTGTCATCGTGCTTTTTATAGACAGCCGCTACTTGCTGGCGGAAGTAAATCGTCTTAAATCGCAGGTTCAGGAGTTGCGAGCGACCAATCGCGTTGCTCAGGAAGAACGAGCACGTACAGCAGATTTGCTGGCATCTTTCGTCACATGTACACAATTAGACGCTGCATTGTCTACGAAAGTTTCTTTAGCACACGTCAATAGTCAAGTGGATGCATTGCGACTGGAAATAGCAACGCAGTTAGCTCAGAAGGTAGACCTTCAATCACATATTTCGATGCAAAGTAGTAAGCTAGATGTAGCAGCGTTCAATGCCAATACGTTGGATTCTCGAAAGACGTGCATGAAAATGGAGCAGGATGCACGTAACCTCTATGCAACGTTTGTGGCACAAATGGAAAATGTTTTGAAAACAAAGGTGGGGGTCGAAGATTTGATCCGAGTCTTTTCTGACCCTGATGGCACTAGTCAGGAGATGTCATTGGAATTTGCTGCATTTCGCTTTTCGAATATGATGGATCAATTAAAGCTGCTAAATAAATACGTTGAAGAAGACCGCCAGCGTCAACTGAGATTTAAGGAGCTAAATGGAAACATGAGGGATCTCAAGCGAAAGCAGACAGCGGATTGGAACGCCATTGTGCAGCTAAAGAACGCTACGCAAATTACAAAAACTCAGCTGAATAATTTGGGTGAACAAACGGGTCAAGTCGCTGCTAACCTGCAAACTTTAGCAGAAACGCGAAATGAACCACAAGGATTAACACAGGAAGAGAAGAATGCTCAAGATGCAAGACAAGCCCAGCTTGCCAATGAGATTGAGCAATTAAAAATACGCAGCAATGATCAGACGAAAAAGCTAAATGAGCTCGAAAAGGCTGAGCGTTTGACGAGCGTGCTAAATGGTAAATTAAAAGACATCAACCATAAAGTGCAGAAAGAGCTTACTCAAGCAAACCTCTCCTGTGACCACCATTACCAACAACTGAATGAAGGATTGAACAAGGCAACTGAACAATTAATATTTTATAAAGATCGCTTTGTTCAACTGGATGCTTGTATACGACAATTGGCCTGTCTATTGAAAAAAACACAAGGAGATCTCGACACTGTAAGAGGGCCCCTTGCGACGCTAGCGACGAATTTGCACGAGGAAAATGTGGCGATTGTCCAAGAAATCAAGCGAAGTCAGGTACGAGATTTTGACTTTATTACTATGAGCCAATTTTTACATTATCGTGTGGTAGGATGGTGCGCGCAACATCATGCTCGACTATCAGGATTTATTAGATCGAGGTACAACCATGCAGGCTGTCGTGCCTTTACCGTGTCGACCACTATCGACAACATCTTGCAGTGTCAGCGATACTACTTTTGCTAGTCGAAAGCACAAACAGCAAACGCTACTTGCCACAAAAAGCGACAGTAATCGGCCTAGCACCGTAAAGAACCGAGGTCAGACGTGTGGCGCACCCAATAGGGCTTCGCCATTAGGAGTTAGACAATATCCTGGCGCGAGTCGTACTACCAGACCACCGTCATTACCTTGGAGAGCTCAAACAGCCGGATTGATTTCGCAAGTTCATTCTGAAAATACTGATCTGTGCGGTTGTCGCGACAACAATGACGGTCTAACAAAAATTGGGTACCATTTACAAGAAGTAAGACCAGCCAACTCGGTCGAAACAGCAACATGTATTACAAATGAGTCTAAAAGCCCGATCAGAAATGTGACTTCACCTTTTTTCGTCTAGCTTCTGGCGGTAGAGACGAAGATCTATTCCACTTCTCTTGAGTGAAGTCAGGCTTGATTGAAAGGGAAAATGACCGTACAAGCTCAATACCATCGCGAGTTTGTTTGCTGAAAATTTGATCTAGCTCAGCACAAAGATGCGACGCTGTATATATACTAGATGTTCTTGGAAGAGAAAGATAAAAAGAAAACGTATTCAAGAGAGTAAAAGCTCATTCTGATGCTTGTTCATGTGTCCGTGGTGTGACTGGGTGAAGGTGCCCTTAGAGGCGTACATCAATGCTATCAGCATGCAATTTTGCCTTGACATCCTGAATAGCCACCTCCTTACGATGAAAGATACCAGCAGCGAGAGCAGCATCGCAGTTTGTCTTATTGAAAACTTCCGTGAAGTGCTCCGATTTACCCGCACCACTGGATGCAATCACTGGTATACGGACCGCTTTTTTCACAAGCGAGATCAGACTGAGATCATACCCAGACTTCTGCCCATCCATATCCACACAGTTCAGCAAAAGCTCACCAGCGCCAAGGGCCTCAACTGCCCGGGCCAGTTGTACTACGTCGATGTCTCGGGCTTCACGGCCACCGCAAACTGTCATTTGGTACCAGCAATATTCCTCTCCGTTCGGTCCAGGTTTTGTGAGCTTAACGACGGTGTGGCCTTTTGCTTTCTGATCGTAGAATGATGCCACATACACCCGCTTTGGGTCCACGGAAACCACTACAGCCTGATTACCATACTTGGCAGAAATAGTCTCGATCGAGCTAGAGCCATCACCTTTACCGCCATTCGCGTAATATTTTTCAGCGGTATACACTGCATCACTACCAATGGAAATTTTGTCAGCACCAGAGCGAAAGTACAGGTCCGCCACATCGAGCGCCGAGTGAGTCTTCTGCTCTGAATCCACGTAGGCACGGATACCACCACCAATTGTTAGTGGTACAAATACGCATTCGGAGCTAGCCTCTAGCACTCGAACCATAGGTAAATCACCCATTGGCTGTTCACGGAAGCTCGTGATATTAAGAAACGTTACTTCATCCGCACCCTCATCGTAGTAGCGCTTGCATAAGTCAACTGGTTTGCCCATATTGCGCACATTGCCTCCACGAGCGCAATTGGAGAAGTCGCGGACATCATATTGATCTCCTTTTGTTACTACAAGATCCCCCTGATCATTGGTGCGCACGTCCAGACATCTGCAAGGTAAAAAAAGTAAGCTTCAATACCTCAAACATACAATTCAAATCTTTGACGAACGCAATTATTCGCTTGGACAACTTCGTCTTCGGTGCCACAGCCACCGATAGTATAGATGTGTCATGATCTGCACAATTCTTTCTCTCTAAAAATCCCTTTAAGATAGCAATACCAACAGCACCACTCTTTTCGGGATGGAATTGCGTAGCCATGACGTTTCCCTTTTGTACAGCACTGATAAACTCCATTTCTCCATAATTTGTTGTAGAAAGCACCCAGTCGGCATTCTTGTCCGTCTTTAAAGCACAAAACGAATGGACAAAATAAACTTTGGCATTTTCCGCACACGTGGGTAACATTGCAAAGAGTACCGACTTTTTCCAAGCATTCAATCCGTTCCAGCCAATATGTGGTACCGCCAGATTTTCTGACGGAAAGCGTGTCACTGTTCCTTTGATAATCCCCAAGCCTTTAAGTTCAGGACACTCTTCTGAACCTTCAAAAAGTGTCTGCATGCCGAGACATATTCCTAAGTAACGACGGTTCGCCAAAACGTAGCTTCTGAGTTCATCCACGTAGCCATTAGTATGAAGAAATTCCATTGCGGCGCGAAAATTGCCTACACCTGGGAATATGAGTACTTCGGCGTTTTGAATATCCTTGGCACACGTTACATTTTTTACCGAATGGCCTGCCGCGCATATCGCATTTTTTAAGCTGCGCACATTGCCAGCTCCATAATCCAAGACAGTCACCTCCACCATTACTTTGATTACTTAAAGCTGTGGTTGATACTTCCTCTGTCCGAAAATATAAGCTGGTGTCTATTACTGCGCGTGTCCGAAAAT